GTATTTTTGATGATGGTGGTTTGAATGAGTAAAAATGAGAATCTTTAGGAATAAAAATCTTTTCTTCACAAAACTGTTCTTATGTCAAGACTCTGCATCCCACTTCCTTAGCTCATCCTATCATAGGATTAATGTTGGGCTATACAGCAAAGACAAAGCAATGCACAAGCTCTGCCAAGAAACTTAAAGTGTGGAGTAATGACATAAGAGCAAGACACCCTCTAAAAATATCATTGAGAATGAGTTATAATCTTCCTTTTATAGCTAAAACTTGGTCTTTTATGTTATATGCTTTTTTCTGCAATCCAAATGCAGAATGTGAATTTTAAAGCAGATTAATGAACCATTAAGAGGCTCTGCAAGAGTGTTCTTTCAAACAGCAATCAATAGTGCTCTCTCTTGTTCCTTGTATATATAGTTTCTGTATTCTCGGAGATATTTATTCCATTAATTGATCATTATTGCTGTGCTGGATAATATACACTTATGAGGAAATAGCTGAATTCTTAGTTTTCAGGACAGTAACAAATTATTAGCTATAATGACAATTGCACCAAAGCAATGACATGATAAACAGGGTTGTTAGGTTTTTCCTTTAAAGTGTTCATTTCCTTACCTCAATAGTGTATCTGTTCTGTGCATTGCATTCATCCGACACAGTGAATTCAAAGGTCTGCGTTTCTTCTGAATCAACTTTCCAGATAAGAAGGCCAGCAGGAGAGAGCCTGGCATCCTGTGGCCCAGCCTCTAAGATGAAGAGAACAGCTGACCCTTCCGGATCCACTGCTATTAACTGGTAGACAAAATTCTCACCAATAAATGTCAGCAGCTGGCTGGAGGGGGCCTGGAACACAGGAGGCAGGTTGTCTAAACAGCAAAAATGAAACCATGATTACGTAAATTCCAGCGTTTCCCATGTAAAGATTCACTGTGCAGGTCTTTGTAGGAGTGCTCTCGGTGGAAAAGATACAGAATATGCCCTGAAACTGATGGAGGAAGCAATTTGGATGTTAGAGGCAGCAAAATACCAGAGGGTATACCTTTTTCCTCTTATCTTTCTCATGTCCCATACTGGACTTTGATTACTTCTGATGTGTTATCTGGCACAAAACCTCTGTAACCTTCCACTAGTCCCACAGTTCTTACCAAAATTAATTGTTTTTCTAATTCTTACATATATATAATTATTCTATCTACTCTGTCTATCCATCTATCTATTTATCCATTTAAATATAAGTAAACTCGTTCTCAAAATGATGAATGAAAAATAAATTGGGTGGGAAACTGAAGGGAAAAAATCAGTTGTGTAACTCTTCCATTGAGTAGGCTCACCTGCATTTACATAAGGTGTAATTGAGCCTGAGCAGTTTGACTGAATTCAGTTGGACATTTCATCAGGAATAAAGGTCTTCTCAGTGCCAGCAAAGGTACGCCAGTGGTGCTGAGATTCTCTCTCCCCAGTGACAGCAGTACCTATCCTGTCCCCATTGGCATAATTATTTTTAGTGTTGTTGTTTACATATTTCCTTAATAAAGTTAAAAGAGTAATTGTACTGAGCTAGTTTATAGTAAAAGAGAAATGTGCCTGAAGATACGTATGATACAGACAGGTAAGGAGAACAAGGTAGAGAGATGTATTACCTTTTAAAATTAGAAACCTAGGAAAAGTAAGAGTGGATGAGTACCCCGAGGTGACAGCAGCTCTGTGCAGGATTGGGGATTTCATTTCCATGTCCTAAGCCTCCTCAGTCTCAAGCCATCTTTCCTCTTTAAACAGCAGTAAAAATTGACATGTATTGATATTTAAAGGAATCTTCTTATAATATAATGTGACCATGGTTATGTCTAACTTAACATTTCTAATACCAAGGTTTAATTTCAAGTCACGCTCTAAAACTGTGAACAATATATGTGTTCTCATAAGGACTGCCTGTGTCCTTGCATTATGCTTGTGAAAAGTCGTCATTAGGGGATTTCTGTGATGCATAACCTTTTATCAAGCTTTGCTTTCCATAGCATGTCTCACATTATGCAATTATTTAAATGTATATCTCCACTCATTGCTGCTGTGCTATCAGAGCTTTCCAAACTGCTTGTCCAGCAGATTGTCCTGGTATAACTGTTGAAAGCTTCCATCTATTTATTTACCTTTTATTTCCCAAACACTTAAACCGTGGAGCCAATAAAAGTTGTGCCCAAAGCAATCAATGAAATATTGATGCTGGGTATGCATTTGCAGATAAACACAAAGGTGTTAACTGGATGGACACTAACGAGAAGTTGTCGGCACAGAATAACCTAAGTTCTGAAAGCAGACTGGCAAAAAGAGTTTTTCTAATTCCACAGAGATCTCCTGCCACCCAGTGAATATATATATTCCCAATTATTGCAGTACTTTTTAAAAGGTTTTCACAATTTTGAAAAAAAATCTGACAAATCTTTTCAATATTTTTAAATTTTGAAATTACTGACAAAGTGAACCATGATCTGTTTCAAATTTCCCAACTGATTTCTAGCTTTATAAATTCCAAAGCAAATGCCATTTTTTCCCCTTTTAAACCATTCTCGGAATTTTAAAATCAAACTGTCTCAGAGTTAGTAATGACTTTATCTAGATAACAATCAGGATCAGCTCATCCCTAGAGATGCTACTGCTGTGGCCAACACAATGGAAGGACAGAAAGGAGGCAAGGTTTGTGAGTCACAGATAATATCTCTCATTAGTCTAAACTACATCTCTGGGGAAACCCCACAGCTTTCAGGTGTACAAGCTCTTCTTCAGGTCTGGCTTACCCGCAGGTATTTCAACTGCTCATCCATGTAACATCCAATGGGATTTTTATCTGGCCAACATTTGGGGTGTATCTGCCTACACCTTTTCATGACAGGGATTTTTAGATTCCAAAAGCTGGATTTTTTAGGACATAAAATAGAGGTGGATGGTTTAAATTCAAAGTGAAGAATTTAAAGTGAAATTCAGAGAAAATTCTAAGTGGCTATCCTGGAACAGAAATTAAATGGACTCACAAACTGCTCTCCCTTCCTGTAGTGTTCTTGCTTCCAAAATTGATTTCAGACACCTTATGATTTCTTGTGTTGTTGGAAACTCTTGGGTCCTTTCTGGTCCTCGTCAAGGGCCTTTCTGGCACCTCTGAGTAGACTGTGTCTGCTCACAGCTCTCCTTGGCAGTGTCCCCCCGTGGAGCTAGGGACTCCGGACAGTGTTGCAGCTCTCGCCGTTGCTGCTGCCATACCTTGCACTCTCTAGGAGCCTCTGTCCCTGAGCATCCCCAGATGTCCCTCAAGGACAAGAGCAATCTTCCTATCCTTCCAGAAGGGTCCTGCTGACCTAGTCACCCTAAAGGAATATAAAACTGCAAACAAGCAAAACAAACTGGTCCTGTGACTCACATACCTCTCTGTAATTTCTTTGTGTTTACAGAATCTAAAAGTACAAACTCCTTCCAGAACTGGCACATGAATCTACATAAAGGCGGAATTAAAATATTTACACTGACCAGATGTAAATGTTCTTATGTAAGTGGGGAGATGCGCTGTGAGGATAACGCTGCTAGAAACATGGATTATCTGCTAGGCAAGAGGTAAGTAATGGTGGTTGTTTACACTGGGGATGTAGCCATGAAAAAGCTATGATTAAATCCTCAGCATTCAGGAGAGGCAGCCTTCTCCGTGACCCCTGCCATGAGGGTCTGCAGAAGGAGCCTTCAGGTTCTGTGGCAGTGAAGGTAATGAGTGGCTGATCCCTATCACTTAGACTCCCTGCCAAGCCAAGGTCTTTTGTGTGGCATTTCATAGAATTTGGCTCAGGGAAAGGAAACAATTCTTCCAGATACCAAAAAATATACAGCAGTGTTTTAAAAACAGTGTTTCCCCCAAATTGTTACCTTAAAGATTCATACCTGTGAGATGATGACAGCCATATTTAGGATCCATCACCTTTAGCTGACAGACTTGGGCACTGTGTGGGGCACTGGCATATCCACAGTTTCATTTTCAGTTGTTATTTTGGTTTTATTAATTTGAGTTTTGTTAGGCTTCAGCCAGAATAAGGTACATGCCCAGGTGCACAGTGCAAACGGTGGAGTATTGTCTGCCTCTGGTCAATCT